CAAATTCCAAATTAATAAAATAGAAAACTGGGGTGAATTCTAGTCAGATTTGATGTTCTAGAATTTTATTACAACTGAAAAATGAACATAGCATAAAATGTAAGCACTTAATTCATAATTAAAGAAAAGTGAAATACTGCCTAACATAACTATAGGTTCTTATTTGAGAATGTTTCCTCAGTTAAACCTGAAGGCTTGTAAAACATTATGAACAGCTCCTATTGAAATTAGTGATTGGATTTCAGTTGGATTTGATCTGTTGGAGATTCAAGTCAGACACAAATTTGATTCCAGAAAATCAGTCTGTAATCATCCATTTAAAAAGCTATGTTTGATGTAAGGCATCTTAACTAAATATCAGAATCTGTTAAGTATTATAAATAAAGTCTTGATGTCTGTATTTTATATCCCAGGAGTCTTCTCTTTCAAAGAAAATAATTTCGGTCATGGGCAGTTTTGTTTGCAAAAGTACTATGAGATTTTGACATAGTATAATATATTCTGAGTTGCTTGTTAAATTAAAAAACAACACACTTTAGAATGAGACTATTACATTTTACAAAACACTGTATCACAAAGGCAATGTAATACTAAAAAACCTCTATACTCATTTAAACACATTTCAGGAAAAAATACACTGGAAATGTAGTAATATTTATTTTGAAGTACGTCCGTGTTGTCAGATGGAGCCCTAAGAAAGATAACAAACAGTAACTTATTTTAAGAAGTCACAAAATGCCAGATAACCTTCTTGTCTTTTAAAAGCTGCAGTAAAATACCCAGAAGTATAAACACCACGTCTTAGGAAAAGAAAACATAGGATGTGTGTAATCATTAAGAGCATGCCACTGTTAGAAGAAAACAGTCATTTATGTTCAAGCTAACTAAACTGGCAAGACAGGAAAAGGTGGTCTAAGGCAGATTTAGAAAAAAGCCCTTTGAATTAGAGACTTCTGTTCTTAAGCACATGTTCCGATTGCACTGTTAATGAAAATGTTTATCATTACCAAAGATATTTTGTTACAAAACCAGTGTTTCATGAGATGAAAATGGAAAATAAGTCGTTTGGTTGGTTGGTTGTTTTTTTTATGAGAATGAACAGTCACAAGAATACTAAAAAATTAGGAAGGAATGCTCACATATTATTCAAGAAAATATAATATGCATCAAACACAAAATCATTCAAATTAATATTTGCTTAAAGTTGGATATATCAGTACTTTGCTGAATCAGGTGGATGGATGTAAATCTTCATCCAAAGAGATGAACACAATTAAGCAATCAGAAACAGAAATGATATGATTTTGTAATAATGTTTTGTTACATTACATCTATTTATACCTTTACACAGTTGGAAATATGCAGAAACTAACAAATTATGATTCTGGACCTGAAATGTAAAGCTTGTTGATCTTAGCAGCCTAAAGCTGCAAGTTGAAGCTCTCCTCTCTGTGAATTTCAGTCAGTCAGTATCATATAATCAAATACCCTGTGTCAGCAGTATGTATGTATGTATGTATGGAGCACAAGACAGCCAGTAGAACACTCCCTGAATGCACAAACTGCAGACAAATACATGATCTATAAGTTTGAAGTTATAAAAGTTCTTGGGGACCACTCAGTTTTGCAGGCGAAAAGAAAAAGAAAAGCAATAACTCTGTAATTACATGGTAATTTTTAAGAACATAAATGGATGCTAAATACTGTAAATTTATATATAACCAAATGATAATTATGTTTTATATTTGAAATAGTCATCAAGGAACTGAAGCAGGTAATTAAATTGACTCATCTCCTTTCATCAAATTTGTAAAGGTACATAATAAAGTCAGGCAGAAACATGAGACTGGGGTATACACTGTGTTCCCTGGAAATTGTTGGAGTTATATTGGTTACAAATATATATGTGAAACTATTTAAGTATGTAGGATCCAAAGAACTTTGCATTAGGCGAGTCCATTAATCTCAGTACTGTTAGCCCAGATGACAGCCACTGAAGATCTCCGCCTAGATTCATAGCAGGGACTAACCTATCCCACCCCAAAACAGTCATGATACAAGCTGAGTCTGGCACCTACTCACTACGATATTCCTCTCACTCTGAAGAAATAACTGTCTTTCTATCAAAAAATCCCTTGTACACGTAAGTGTAATGGACAGAATTTCCTTTCATTCCACTTTGGCTTTTCACATTTGCACTACCTGCGTAGAATTTTTCTCTCCTCTTATGCAAGATTTTTTTATCTTCCTCTTTCTTGGCAAGTATAACATACTTCACGGAAAATTTTATAAAATAAAACAAAGATGTGAAGATGGAAAGGGAACGGGCTTAAGAGAATGACAGAAAATGAACCAAAGTGTTTGATCGTGCATTTCTTAATAGGAATTAAAAAAAAAAAAAATCATAGGTAGTTAAGACAAAGGATGAATAGTTACATAAGGAGAATAAAGGTCCATAAAGTATACTTTTAGCCTCTTAAAAACAGATTGAACTAGTATATGAAAAGTGTAGAGGCAGAAAAACAGCAAGGAGTGCACACGGTCTTTAATCATCCTGTACATTCATCTAAATTCTGAAAGAAAGAAGTTTATTTGCAATATCAAAGTATAAGCTTCAAATATAAGCTTCAAAACACTGGATTTTTTAATATTATTTTATTTTTTAAGAAATACTCTCTCCCAACCTATTTTTCATATTTTCTTCTTAAAACAGAGTAATACTAAAAATCTACACATTGCAGGGGATGTACAATCAAGCATGTAGTGTGGATAAAGATCAGTTCTAAGAGCCAGTACAAGTTCCTATGAGTGAAATAAATCTTATAGAGTATGAGTGGAAGTTAGTTCCCCCACTGGTCTTGTACTAGCCTGCACAGCTGTGAATATTTTTCTGTTTGAATTCTTTATCCCCTAAGTATTTACATTAAAAAATGACTCATTAGAAATAACTGTTAGCTAAATTCACAAGAACTCATAGACTACATTAGCCTACTCCCAACATTCAGAGCTCTGCGCTTACTACTTGTCAGAGTGATACCACAGAGTTCAAAAGATGCTGAGTTGCGTTAATAAATTATTACAAATATAAGATATTAGATACATACTTGTATTTCCATCAGGAGCTGAGTCTAAATATGACATATTATTACTGAAGTATTCAAATAACATTGTATGACAAAAACACAGCACAAAATATAATGAGGCAACTAGCATACTTTCCTGGAACAGAAACTATTTGTAATATCCAGGATTAAAAAAACTTTAAAAAAAACCCACAATAATTGCCTTTTTAGAAAAGGCTTTTTTTTCTTCTTCTTTTTTTTTTTTTTTCCTGCATCAAATATGTGCTAATCAGCAGTCCTAGCACATTGGTCATTTTAGAAAACAGATGGTTGACAGGCATTTAAGAGATGAAAAATAAAGAAAGAGAAAGCAGTGTATCTGCAAGTATTTTACATGTATACCTTATAGGTATTGTCCATTCATTTATTTTGTAGGCTTTAATTCCAGCATCTGTTTGTATTTTGCTACAGCTAAACTTTGTCTAGAAACACTGTTACTATTTCTCCATTCAATTAATTTAATCAAAAGCATCAAACAGCTTGATCTGCAAAATCTAAACATGGCAACCCAGAAATTACTGGTGTACTCTCTGTTAGCAGAATCTCTAGCTCAGAGTTAGAAATCTTGTTCGGTAGCTGAAGAGAACACCTCAGTTATACACCTTCTCTTTGGATTCACAGCAACACACCGGAGAAGGAGTTTAGATCAACTACTACATCCTAAGTGAAATCATTTGACTCATCCACATAGTTGCAAAACTCTTCTGTTTTGCATTCCTTCATTTTCTCCTGGGGCCCAATATTTAATTAGCTATATCAGGTGGATCAGCATTAGTTGTATCACAAAGTCCTCACTGAGGAAGTGCGATTTACAGGTCCATATCCCTGCTCCAGAGCAGCACGAGAGGGGATTTGACAACCTACCTGCTGTGTGAAAATGGCAACTACCTGGCTGTTGGGAAACAGTGTCTAGCCGGAGCCAAAAATGTCTGGTTCCTGCCTGTCGCTTGTTATGCTTTATTTTGTAGTCATGATCTGAGGAGGCCTAAGACACTGGATCTGACTGGTGAGATAGGCAGGAGAAAGCCTTGCTGAAAATGCCCCTGGGGTTAGGTGTGAGCTTGGGATTTGAGTGTCTCACACAAGCAGGACGTGGGCAGTTCTGACATGCCCGCTGGCAGAAACTATGTGGACTTAAGCATCACTGGGGCAACTACAGGGTAACAGCAGATAAGTAGGGGTTTAAAAGGATCTTAGAAGAGGTTAAACACTGCTGAAAGAGAATGGAAATTAAAAACCTATGTGTGTAAGTTAATTTTTAAAAGGGGACTTAGGTGTGTTTGAAAACATCATCCTGATAACTCAAAACTAAATTTAAATACACAGCACAAATGCAATTGCATTTTTTTTGTCCTACAACATCATAAAAAATATTTTTTAACAGATTACATGCTTGATTATATATTCCTTTACAGCAGCTTCATGGCAGGGAAACTCCAGCTGAATAAAGCTAATGTAACAGAGCAGAAAATCAAGCTCACTGTCTAGTTTGGTCTAATCTCTAAATCACATTCCTAAAAAGTTAGGGAGATGCAGAAGTGGACCCAAAGATTAGGGGATATCAAATCACCAGACTTTTGGTCCAAGCCAGTCAGAATGCTCCTGTTTCACTGAGTATCAAAATTACATGATCTAAACAGTCTGTCTTGATTTAGCAAAGCCAACAACCTTGCACCTATTAGCAGTTAACCCATGAGACTGCCCATGTATTTAATAACAAGTATACTATTAAGCACATAAATAGACACTGTTTACTTGGCTAAAGCAATGGCACAGTTTTAGCATCTTGGAGGGCTGAAATCTCAAGACAACAAGGTTTCCTAATCCTTATAAATATCCTCCAAAATACGAATTTCATAAATGCAGGACTGTTTTCAACTATGTTGACAGCAGTGCTATGTCCCCTGAAGTTATTTCAGAGTCCTGACTGTGTGTAGAGCTGATTCCAGTGTCAGAGTCTGTATCGTTTATGTCCAGATTAGTCACTCTATGAACAAAGTCAGGAACAGCAATGCTGCTACTGGAGATGCCACTGCCCTTGGATGGCTCTTCGTTTGATGGAAGCCTAGTTTCAGTGTTTTCTTTAACATGTAGTAAATCAAATTCTTCTGTAAGAAGTTCATATTCTTTTTCCTTCTTTTGAAGCAGTGAGTCCCTGTATGTAAGTTCTTTCTGAATGCAGCTCAAGTATGAGTTGATTCTCAGCCCATCTTTCATACTTTTTTCCAGCTCGTATTTTATACTTTCCAAATTTGAGTTTTCCAGTTCAGAATCAGCAGCTCCTTCAATGTGAACATCATCTGCATTTTTTTCTGCGCATATACCATGTACCTCTCTTTCAATTTCAGCACACAGCTTCTCTATTAATTGTTTGTGATGTTTCAGCCTCTCTTCAACCTGTAAAATTCCCTCACTTTTGCTCAAATAGTCATGCATCTCCTTTTGATCATCTGGCCTACTCCCTTGCTGCTCAGCCTCACTTGGATTGATCATTAAATAGGAGTCCTGCACATAATTTTCTCCATCGTTGGCCACACGATCTAGATGGAATTTTGCTTCACATTTTTCAATTTCCATATCTAGTTCCTTCATTCTGAGGACTTGTTGATGAATAGTATGATCTTGAGAAATGATCAGATGAATCAGTGTCTCCATATTATCTCTCTCTTGCTGAACACTGTCCTGTTTAAGCTTGGCCAGTTTCCGGAAAGTCTTCCTGACAATTTTCTTTTGCTTGTCTATTGGCAACATCTTCATGTAATTTGCTGGACTGAGTTCCCACTGTTTTTCTACATTTTGTACCACCTTAGCTTCAGCTGTTTTCCACAATGGAAACGAGAGGAAAGCATCTGACTTTACCAACACAAAGTGCAAATTAGACTGCTCTTCCCCCCAGGCCTTCCAAAGTCTCAGAATCTTTGTCAAGGGAGGAAGTACTCGCTCTGAGCCTCTCCATTTTTCTACAATGCAGTAATCACTAGGTTTTCCAAAAAGGACCTTTTTGTCTCCAAATGTTGCCTGATGTTCCTCAAGCAGTGCTTGAATCACTTCTGTGCAAGTTGTGCGCTTCGTCAGGCCACATACAATCTTCTCTTCCTGGCAAACCCAAACCACAATCTCTCTTTCATTTGAAGCCATGTCCTTGTTGGGAGACCTGGAAAATGAGACCAAATATAAATTACATATCAATTAAACAGACTGTATGAATAATAGCTATAATTCTGATATGATTACCACATTGAAAAATTCCCTTATTATTGTACAAGACAATATACTTGTTTAAATTGCATGAAGAAATACCTTTAGATTAAGTAACAGAAAAAACACACCCATTTCAGCTGCTTTTTTAATATTGTTACTAGTCCAGCAGAATGTGAAACTCACAAAACCCATCTTTTACCAAATTTAGGTTTTGTACACATAATAAGTGCATATTAACAATAAGTGCTAAAGTTTAGCAACTTGCATTAAATTTCCAGACTGTCCTAGGATAACATAACTTTCAGATCTGCATATCTGTTCTCATCACACAGACATTGGGCAAACATTTGTAAGCTCCTAATATCACCAAGGCTTCTGAAGGGAAGAATCATGCCTCCAAATATGCACTGAACATAGAGGGACTGAGGAAAGATGATTGAACACTATCTAAGTTAAAAGAACTTGATGATAGGATAAATCTATAGCTCTTTTACCACACCTGCACCCACGCAAGCATAAACACCATTGTTTTCCACTGAGATGTTTCACTAACAAGTCTCAAGAAATTTGTTGCTTTCCCTGAAGTACCAAATAGCCTGAATTCCAGTGAGTTGTGAGAATACCAACTGCGAGAGAATACATATATAGGTCTATATTTTATAACCTTTGTAATGATACAGAAATGCCAGAAAATGTAAAAAAGTTTATTCTTTATTTATTCATCTATGAATTCCAATGAATGTGGTATTAACCTGATATTAGCAGCTGGTACCTCCTTATACATTGAAATACCTAAATTCGGGTGTCTACGATCCCATTATAGCTTTCTAATCAATACAATCGGTGGAGCCTAGAGAACGATTCAGCTGACCAAATGTAGAAGTTCACTTTACAGTTAACTCTTAAGCTTGTCCCCATCTGAGTATCCCTGGACTGTCATGAGCTGTCATTGGCAGAGTGGCCTTATGGAACCTGTCCAGGATATTCCTGTCCTGTAGCCTCCACATGCATAATCTGCTGCTTGCTCAGATCTGGTGATTTGGCCTCTTGCCTAATATAATAAAACAATAAATTTAATGAGGAAAAATGCATTTCTTTGGATTTTCTGGTATCACTTCCAGTTCATTTGAATGAATGAGATTTAACCCAGTCTGACAGAGAAAGCTTGAAAATGAAAATGACAATTTGGGCAATATTCTAAGGGCTCAATACCACATTTATTGCTATCTGGGACTAGTTATTTGCAGTACTTTTCTATTTTTTTAAGATCTAGTAGGAATAGAGTTTTATTTGGCTTAACTAGGGTTATACCCTATGATTATTAAAGCAATCCAGCTTGGTTTTTTTTCTTAATTACTACACAACAAGAGAGACAAACTGCAGTCGAATAAATTGAACTATTATTGACTTGGCTCTAGATGCCACTCTGACCAGGAGGCAATAATCCTCAAAAGATGGGAGAATGCAAATGAATACTAATAAAACCTACAAGAATGAGTGTATTAGTATCGTCGTACATGAGAGCCCTGTTCAACTACGTTGCTCCAGGTCTTGGAACATCCCTGTGTAAAATTTGTGTTTTGGTAGATTACTCTGAGTAATGACATCATTTTCCCACTTCAGTAGCTCCCTCTTACAGGCCAGCCAGCATTTTACAGTATTATTTTGTAAAACTGGTATTCATAAGATTAATAATATTTTCTTAGATTAATAATATTTTCTTAGACTACTTATCAAAATAGGAAAGCTTACGTCACAGATATAGAAAATGGCTAAATGGCATAAAGAAACAAAAATATACAAGTTTAAATGAGGGGAGGGAATGAAAGACAATATCATATTAAATGGCATTAAATGCTGTTAAGTACATCACATGCTAAAAAGTCAGTATCTGTAAGGGATTTTTAGGTTTACACAATACAGGATGCTATACCAATATTTTCTTCTGTTGACAGATTGATAGTTAAATGAAACTTACGTAAATAGACAATTGCAACATGTCAGCTGTGACTTTCAGATAACTCAGTATTTGTTTTACACTACAGATATAAAAGTAAAAAAAAATAAACTACAGTTACCTTATGTTAAGCATAAAATTATGCAAAATATTCACTGCTGATACATAAATAATTGACCTAGAAATAGAAGTATATTACCAGTCATTGAATTTCAACTTACAAAAGTACTGGCAGAAAAATAAAAATTATATAGCCATAAAAACATAAGAAATACTAGATTGGAACCTTGAGGCAGTAAATTCAGACCATATTTTCCTGTTGTTTTTTGTAATCAGTAAATACATTTCAGGGAATACATGCTATCTCAGTCTTCTAGCATTTTCTGAGAGTCTTATGCAATTTGTTTGCACATTGAAACTCTTCCTATTTTTTTTTTTTTCTCATTCTCGTTTTTGGTAATTTGCCATATTGTCTCCTAGTCGATATTTTAAACTTGTAACATTATGTGAGTTAAGCAGAAGCTTACTGTCTCTTTTCCTCCTGGCACCTTTAAAGCTTTCCTATGAAGACAGTTTCTCTCTCTGATATTGGTAAATCATCAGATAAATTTGAAAACCCCATAGATACCCCATAGTATTAGTGTACTGATAAATACCTTTGCTCTACTTATTTTTTACATGGAGTTCCCAAGCAGGAGTTAAGCAAGCTTCTGATGGAAATACATTATTTATTGTACAGCAATCTCTACAACATCTCTGCAAATAATATGGATATAAAATAACATTTTAAAATTACTGTTTTCAATAATTTTCTAGCTGTTTATCACCCCCTGTTATTTTCTGAGTTACAACGCATCTGTCTACCCAGGCTTTATATTGAGGTTTTTGGGGAAAGTTTTTTATTTACCTTGTCTAGAGCATATTTGTTATACTGAACTCTGAAACTAGTAGTAGCATTGCAGGAAAGGATAATGTATGCACATGCAGGTATACAAAAAACTCAAGTATCTTATACATGAAAATACATACATACATATATATATGTATGTATGACATGTAATATACATATTATAATTATATTGTCACCTTTTACAGAAAAGGAGAGAATAAAAAAAGAAACTCTGAACATGACTATAATTCTTGGATCAAAACAGAACTGTAAAGTGCAAATTCTTCCTTTTTTTTTTCCATGTGTTTGTCACAACATATATTATCTTCATTTTTATTCAGTAGCCTCGCTAAATATTTGATCTTTCTTTTTAATAAAAAAGAATTAGCAAGTCATTCATAACCTTGCAGTGCCATGGAATTCTAATATCATCTAAAAAAATCATAGAATCATAGAATCATAGAATGTTTTGGGTTGGAAGGGACCCCTAGAGGTCATCTAGTCCAACCCCCCTGCAGGAGCAGGGACACCGCTAACTAGATCAGGTTGCTCAGAGCCCC